ATCCCAGTTCTTGCATGGCCAGCATACTCACTGGACATGTCACCCATTGAGCATGTTTGGGATGCTCTGGATCGGCGTATACGACAGCGTGTTCCAGTTCCTGCCAATATCCAGCAACTTCGCACAGCCATTGAAGAGGAGTGGACCAACATTCCACAGGCCACAATCAACAACCTGATCAACTCTATGCGAAGGAGATGTGTTGCACTGCGTGAGGCAAATGGTGGTCACACCAGATACTGACTGGTTTTCGGACCCCCCCGGACCCCCCAATACAGTAAAACTGCACATTTTAGAGTGGCCTTTTATTGTGGCCAGCCTAAGGCACACCTGTGCAATAATCATGCTGTCTAATCAGCATCTTGATATGCCACACCTGTGAGGTGGATGGATTATCTATATATATATATTTTTTTTTTTACTGGTGAACTTTTATCCATAAAAAATACTATATTATTATCGGTTTTTAAAAATAAATTAACTATACATATATATTATATTGTTCATTTTTACATTTTGTATTTAACAGTTTTTTTTTTCATGATAATAATCATTTTAAATAGTTCTAACTCAGAATTGCTTTCTCTCACTTAACAGCTGAACCAGTTCAAACAGCTCGAACAGGAAGTGATCAAACCGGTAGAGAACGACATCACCAAATGGATCTCCCACCAGCATTCAACAGGCTCCTCCTCAGACTCCTCCTCTAATTTCTCCATGGGAGGCGGAGCGCCATTGTGTTTGCGCGATCGCCAACTGTTGACTTTCTATGCAGACCAATGCGAACAGCACTTTGTGACTCTGCTGAATGCGGTAGATGCTTTTTTCGGCTGTGTAAAGGCTGGGCAACCTCCACGAATCTTTGTTGCGCATGGCAAGTTCGTCATTCTCAGTGCCCACAAGCTTGTGTTTATCGGGGACACGCTGTCGAGACAAGCCTCGGCAGCTGAAGTGGCAAATCACATCATGAACTTAAGCAACATGCTGTGCGAGATGCTAAAGACAGTCGTGGGCGCCACCAAAATAGCAGCCCTTCACTATCCCAACACGGCCGCTGTACAGGAAATGGTAGATCGCGTGACGGACCTCTCGCACTTGGCGCAACAATTTAAAGTGCAGCTCTCACAGATGGCGGGATTGTGATGTCATCAGCATGATGTCACTAACTTTTGAACAAAGACTGTCATTTTAACATATATATTTATACTCGTATAGATGCATCACTGAAAGTTGTCTTTTGTAAATAGTCATGCTTTCTTGCTCTCTGTAAATATTTGGCTCTATATTTTGTGTAGATTTGTTTTATATAATAATGATAATAATATTAACTGTATGAATAGAAATGATTGAGATTTGCATTTGTAGAGTGACCGTAAACATTGTTGATTGTTTTGTGTATTAGGCACCTTACAAGTTGTCCTTAACTGCTAATTATTGTGTATTGCTGAACAGCAGAACCTACAAAATGGAAATAGTTTGTTTTGTTCATGTGCTGTATTATGTGACACACACTCTGCCGAGAGAAAACGGTATGAACAAAGTAAAGGATTTTTCTGTCTTTGCTATAGAAATTGTGTTTGACTTGTTTTTGTTTGAACATTTTGGTGAATCTCACAAGAACTGTGCTCCTAGTCATATTTTATTACCCCAAAATCAAAAGGAAATTATATTTTGTTGATGCCTGCTTTAGAATCATTCATATTTTCTGCATTGTGGAAATCTTTTATGACAATTAAAAATGTTCCCTTCCGTTATTATTACTATAATGCAGGGGGGGAAAAAATCATTATTGTATTGTAAAAAAACAAAAGTACAATATATACAAAAATAAACAATATATAAAATGTTTACATCATGGCGGTATTTGTTTTATCACTTTTATGCTTATTTAAAAAATATATGAATTATTTTATTAAAGTAAAAAAAATCAATATTTGTGTTTTATATTAAAATGTCACAATGCAAGAAAAAAATCTAAATGCGGCTAAAAATCAGTTTCTTCATACAGAAATATATATTCATTTCTTTTTTCCTTCTGCTTTTGTGGTGAAATGTGACCCAAACATGTTTTCGTGACATTCATTCTGCTGTGGCAGCATAGCTAACAAAGTAAACCATATTAAATGAACATGAAATCTGGCAGAAGCGAGGAAGATGTTTTCCCAAGAGCTTTCCCCCCTCCATTAACATAACTCAATGTCCCACCGATCCATAATTCCCAAAGTAATATCAGATGATCCAATCATGGATCATGGCCCATGTGGGTTAGCGGCGAGGATGAGAGGCCATGCTAAGGGGATTGAACAGTAAGTCGAGCACAGTCTGAACACTGAGTGCCACACCATATTATCATTAACATTAACCTGCTGGAACATTCTGAGATGTGCATTCGGAACACCACATGTCTGCCCAATCTAATTTGGTAGGATTTTTATTATGCTATCTCATCTAAAAGGCCTTAAAAATAAGGATAATTTGTTGCAGTGTTTTTAACAGATGCACATGATGATTTAACATGTGGCCTGTGGTGAGATGAAGGACATTAGTTCATGCGGCAGGTGTTCTGTGCACCAGTTTCAGCAACCATTACCAGTGGCTAATGGGCAATTGTTTTGATGGATCATTCCCTGCACACTGCGGTTACATATTGCAGCGTTATATTGTATTTTTTACATGTGTGCGTTGTGTACAACAGACTATGGTTTGCATCTGCTGCATGTTGTTGATAACCACCAACAACAATCTCAATTTGTCCCGTAATTCATTCAACTGTAGGTTTCTATTAAATTAAATGATTTAACAAATGAACAAATTACTTATTTGTAAATGTTAAGAAATGCTTTTACCATTAAACAAACTGATCTAATTGTTTGGATGTGAAAACAAATGGGAAACTGATTTACAATAATATACTTTCAATGGAAGTCTAGTATTCTAATGCGCAGCACCACGAATAAACGTTTTTTTTAAAAACTCCCGATTCCAAAAATGTTGTCACCTTCAGGTCAATTTTTTAATGAGTTTGTTTCTTCATCAGAACAGATTTGGAGAAATTTAGTATTACATCACTTGCTCACCAGTGGATCCTCTACAGTGAATGGGTGCCGTCAGAATGAGAGTCCAAACAGCTGATAAAAACATCTCAATAATCCACATTTCACATAATCCACAAAAAGCGGATTTTACTGGATGAAGCATTACTATAGATTGACCCCGAAGCAACGGTTTAAAGTTATTACACCTTCATTTGTTTCTTACAAACATGCAGCTTTTCACTTCACAAGACATTAACTGGACTGGAGTCATGTGGATTACTTGTGGATTATTGAGATGTTTTTATCAGCTGTTTGGACTCTCATTCTGACGGCACACATTCACTGCAGAGCATCCATTGGTGAGCAAGTAAAGTAATGCTAAATTTCTCCAAATGTCTATTTTTTTAATCCATCTACATCTTGGAGGGCCTAAGTGTGGGTACATTTTCAGCAAATTTTCATTTTTTTTGGATGACGTATTCCTTTAAGTTCCATTGCTGCCTTAAATGATCCTATTTTTTACAACTGTAATGTTGTTTTGAAAATATAATCCTAACACGCAAACAAACGTGTTTTGAAAAAAGATTCTGCCAAATGCATACAAATTAAAGTAAATGTCTGTGCAAATTCACATTCAGTTGATAAATTCATGACCAGCTACAAATGCAAAACCGATTACTTTTACATGGTACACCTTGAAGAAGGATTGAAGCGATGCAACACAAACTCCACTCAAAGGAATTACACATAAACGGTTCATCTGCCCAAAAAACTAGTTTCAGTACCAAAAGACATTTCATACAGCTTTACAGATTTAACAACACATATTTGTAATGTACAATTCATGTTCAAGGGAATAGACACGGGTTAAAGCTCCATATGTTTCTATTTAATCCCTTAGGAACATCATCAAAAGACACTGAGATGAATGGCACATTTTCAAAAAAGCTTCAAACAGCACGTAAATCATCTTGAAACTAAATTGCACATGCCACTGCTCATTCATTTGTGTTTCTACAACATTCTCCCTCTTTTAATGAATGCTAACAATATTGCTGGGAACGAAGCAATGCCAACTTGCAAATCTCCATAAAAGCATCAGCATCCACTGACTGGCATTTACACGTAATTAACGATTTAAACATTTTCCGCATTCAGGACTAAGTTCTCCTCGGGGAGACAAAGAGAAAGCCTTTAGAAAGAAACTTTCATTAAACATGGTGAGAGAGCGGTAAATTCTTACCATCGCTCTCTCCAGACCCTTTCCTAGTTATTTATCTCACTCTAATAATGGCATCGGGGGGAGTTCTGCGGTCTTGGATGTGTCTCAAGTTGGATCTGCACTGAATTGAAGAGCCTGAGGGAGGGAGGGTTGAGTTAGCCAATCACTGCCTCACAACTCACACTAAATAAGTCAATCAACCAGATTCACTTCTTCACGTGAACTAAATGGGAAAAACACATTTAATTTTAGTACTCAGGAAGCACAATTAAAGTACAATAATCGTTTGCAACTTGCATAATCCAAAATGTGGGATCAGTAAAACAAAATAGTACATTCTGAATTCATATTTACTTTGGGTTGTGGGTCAATTTTAATCAATTTCTTCTTGAATATTTCTCATTTAGTGTCATGAATGTGCATGCAAAGTTGACACATAGACGTGTTTTTTTAAAGCTGTACAAACTTTGTTACAACTTTTGTGTTGGGGTCAAATTGTCCCCCATTGGTTTTCATTCAATTTGCCAAAAATCAACACTTTGAAAAACTAAAGTGTCAAAAAAAAAAAAAACCTTTGTTGCTTGTCAGACACTAAATTATGAAATACATGAGAAATGTAATACTCAAAAAGTTTTCCCAACATTGAGACTTGTCATCTGAATCGCTCAGGTGAAAAAAAAAAAAAAAAACACTTTTTCTTTTTCAAGGTCAATGAAAATGCCTGGAATAAGGTCTGTGTTAAGGTATTTTCACCTTTTTATCTACGACATAAAATTCAGAAATACCCCGTGATTTTTAAGTCTTTCATATTTTGAAAAAGGTAGTTGCTAATATAAGTGGGACTACAAAGGCTGTTGGGGATATTAAATGTTATCATGCGAAGCGGGAACACTCATTTTCTCACTAGTTCACTTTTACAGCCTCATTGTGCTCTTTCTAACTTTTATAATTCAAACTTCCCAACTTGTGGATTTTAAATAAAGGCTAAAAAAAGTGTTGGAAGCTTAATGGTGGTGCTGTTGAAGTCATGCGACTGTTGTGTGTAATTTAGGTTTTTACTTCTGAAGATTGTGTTTAGGTTTCAAATTCATCATTTATAAAAGGTTATCTTGATGAACAGATTTTATAGATTAAAGAGCATAGATCCTATTGGCTTTTTTGTCAAGGGAAGCAGGGTGAAGCTACTATAACTTCCAGCTTGGCCTACAAAAGTACGTCATCACTGCACAACTCTATAGATTTCATTTGTGTTTGTGCATATTTAAACTTGCAGGAGAAGACAAAGCGCACCAGATTTCGTCTAATTGAGTTTCAGTCACAAAATCAGTTGTTTATGGTTGTGTTTTTTACTTCAATTACTAGGCTGCTGCAGTACTGAATAGAAAAATAAATGTGAGAAACCCATTTTACTCTCACAAGGGTTGAAGAACCAGACATAATAAAAAGGCAAAGGAAGTACAAACAGCAATAAATACTACTTATATTAAAGGTCCCCTGAAACGCTTAGAAACATGCAGCGTTACTCTATGTGTTGACGTCATTTTAACTGAAACAGGACGACAGGGCGGGGCATATCAAGCAGCCCCGCCCCCTTTTAAAATAGCCAATAGCGTTCGTTTATTTCACAGCTTGGGCTAGAGCCGTTCAGAGCCATTGAGCTCTGTAAAGGCGCATTTGACAGGGTATGCCAGCCACAATCTCATCAATATTGCTATAAAATATAGCATTCTGTGTATAATTCAAATAGCTCGGATACATTTTGTGGTCTGCGCCGACTCGCGCATGTGATCCGCTCCGTGCTATCTTGTCTCTGGACCGCAGAGTCCAGAGAGTCTTTTTTTCCTCAATGGAAAGCATATTTACACTGTTTGAATCGTTCCCTGTCCCCTATATAGTGCACTAGGTGCCATTCACTGTACAGAAAACACTAATTCTGTGGACAAGTGACCGATTTCAGCCACGGCTTCAGCGTCTATTTTATAGTGTAGGGGGCGGGCGCTTCGGATTCTAGCGAGCATTTGATTGGACAGAAAGTTTGATGAGAAGCTGAAGTACGATGTGACGTCAAAAAAATCGTTGAGCCGTTTCGGCGGAAGTGACGAACTGCAAGCTTTGAATGCTTATATCTTCTAAATGCGAATTGTGTCACTGTTTTGGAGCACACTGCCTTATAAATAACCTTAAGACTAACATATTGATACTAATACCCAAATAAATTTAATTTTGATTTCATGGGCATTTTAAGTATAAATAATGTAAGATGCTAATAATTATTTGCACCTCAGTGTGTACATTTTTTTTTTTGCCTGTACAGCTAATTTTGAACGTAGAAATCTGTGTGTCAAATGAACCCCTAATACAGTAGACAAGCTACAATAGAGGTTTTCTGCTTATAAAAAATGAATCTTTAGGGGTTATTTTTCGAAGTGTATTTATTTATTTATTTATTTGACAAATAAAATGGAAACCAATGTGGGACAATTAATGCCTAACACAAAAGTTGTACCTAGTTTTTGAACGCAACAGGAGGTAATAATAGATTTAATATGTTAATACAAAATGTACACAAATAGGGGTCTGCAATATCAAGATGCAAACATGCAAGAATGCGTACTTTACTATGACCAGTATGTGCATCATTTTAGTGTGTAATAGACGTAGATGAAAATTTGCTCTGTTCAGCATTAAACCTTTTCCAAATGCTTCCAAAAACCTTTAAAGAGGTCATATGATGCTGCTAAAAAGAACATTATTTTGTGTATTTGGTGTAATGCAATGTGTTTATGCAGTTTAATGTTAAAAAACACATTATATTCCATATAATGTAGATTATTGTTTCTCCTCTATGCCCCGCCTTTCTGAAACGCATCGATTTTTACAAAGCTTATCGTTCTGAAAAGGCGAGGTGTGTTGTGATTGGCCGAATACCTCAAGCGTGTGACGGAAATGTTACGCCCCTCACCATATTGTGATGCCGTGTCCCAGCAGGATGAGACTCAGTCCAGCTGCTCTGCTCGTGCACATCCCATCATCGGTTCTCTTTTAGCAGTTCAGTCAATGTATTGTTAGGAGTAACTGAATGACTCGGGATATTGGTTTATTTCGCGTCAGATGGAGTGTCAGACACGTTTATAAACCGAATAACTTAAGTAATTTGTGGATTAGTGCGTACTGGAGACGCAAACCGTTCCAAATGATTCAGTTCGATTTGGTGAACTGGTTCGATCCGGTTAAATAGAGCGATTCGTTCGCGATCCGGACATCACTAGATGAGACAAAACCAATAAAACCCATTACAAACGAGGCATTTGTTGCATCCAGTGTGGACATAATTACTGATTATAATGACTTATACTGTCTTTTTACACGTTGTGTTGCATTGCATCGCGCTGCGTAAACATAAAACCCTGTCTGAATTTGTGATCGGAGAAATGACAAACAACAAGCACTACTCTCCACTGCTCAAAACTCGCGTTTGAATCATCAGTGGCAAATTATTTAAATATAAAAAACATACTTACAGGCTGTGAGAAGCGCCGGACTGTCCTTGCAAAGTTGGAACTGCCCCACTTTATAGAAACAGCCTTTGTGCAACAGACGCATTGTAGGCTACTGGTTCAGGAAACAGTCCTCATCCTCCATAAAATGTGCTGCACACATCTGAATATTTGGGTTGAAGTGTTCTGGAACAGTGTTGTAAATACAACTTAACCAGTGATTTCTAGTCGTGTCCTCTATTGGAAGGCCAAACAAAGTAGTTTTGCTTTCACAACGAAACACAGCAACTCCACAACATGGCAGCGACGGCAACAGCGAGAATAAAAGTTACGCCGCCTTTCTTTGCGTGAACATTTGGGCGGCGTTATGCAAATCTTCCCACACAGTGAGGTAGATATGTGGGGGCGTGTTAGAACGAGCCGTTTTAGGTAGGTGTGGCTGACTCTGAAATTTTATAAAGAATATCTCTTTGGATTTGAGACTTCAGTTTTTGCAACTTTACAGATCTTCTTTATGCACCAAGAGCTTGTAACACTCCAAAGAGAAAGGAAAAATCGAAATCGCATCATATGACCCCTTTAATGACCCCTGATGTTGACAAGCAACAGCGGAAACATTGCGGAGCATGTTGTGAGCATGTTTGCTGCATCACAAACAATGACACCACAGGTTTGCAGCCCTGATGTTTGCAACCCTGATGCAGAAAAGCAAGAGTAAGGTGGAGGGGGAGGGGAAGAGAACTGGAAGGTCTGACCTGTGAATACAGTGGCGACCAGAGCAGCTCTGGCAATGTCATTTCCGTGGCTTACCACAACCATTTCCTGTAAAGTATTCGAAGGCCTTAAAACTACAGCTTCTGTGCATGGCAAAGCCTCTCTTACCTCTTTCATTTTGTAAATGCTGCATATATTTCAATAAGTTTTAAAATGTTGAGGACAAAGAGAAGGGTAGGCACCTCTCTTAAAAATGATATAAGCTACTGACAGTTTATGCATAAGTGCTTGAAATCTTGCGTTTCTGGTCAAACACTGATGGCCAGGTTTTTCTGAGCTCTTTCATTTAATTTAACCAGCGTATATTTTATATTTTATTATGTTTTAAAATAATATGGATAGAGAGAGGGCCATGAACTCTTTTTAAAATTACAGAAGGGTCTTTTGCTGTTTTAAGCAGCTGCAGGCACTTACATGTCCACTACATCCATCTCCACCAGGTGGCGCTCGAGAGAACAGAGTGTTTTTGTTTGTTTTTTTGTCTTAAGGTATTTGGGCACCAAAAGTGTAATTATTTAAACACATTAATTATTAATTAAAAGAATTGGTAACTGGCATTAAAAATATTAACCGTCCAGCAATCTCTATAAATGTTTAGGCCTAAATAAAATAACCAGTAGAGGCCTACAGTAATCACAAACTACTCTGATCGGACCATTATATCAGCTCTGAGAAAAATCTGGCCCGTCAGTAACTTTGTGGATAATTTATACTCGAGTAATGACAGTAATAAAAGTTAATAACAATGCATAATGTTAACTTTAAAATAAGGTTAAAACAGAAAAAATATATTATTTAGTCTCAACGTACTTGACCAATCAGGGGCAGCTCCCGGTCCTCTGAGCGAAAGCAGATGCAAGTGCACAAAAGGTGCTTTTGAATTTCTTAACGCTGGTTAATGAGACAAAATGTTGTTATTAACTAAATTAATTTATTTTATTACCGTAATTAAATGACATTCAGAAGTAGGTCATATTACTATTGTAATTAATAGGGATTTAATACTGCAAACGTACATTTTATGTTAACATGTTAATAATAATAATAATAATAATATATAGCCAATCAATTCAAAGTTCTAATGTAGAAGCTTATTTATTTATATTCGCATTTACTGCCACTTGGTGGACATTTTTAGTAGTGCAGCAACTCAGCTAAACTTTTCACGTTTATATTTACTGAAGCAATTATAATTAATAAAGTTTAATTCTGCAAACTTATTTTGAAATAACATGTATGCAGTACTTAATATATGGTCTTTTTTTTCTTTCTCTAAACGTATTAGTAAAGCTAATCAATTTAAAGTTCTAATTTAGAAACATATTTTTTTATTTAATTTAGGAGTGTTTGAAAAAGTTCACACCTTCGCGCCCTGCTGTATTTCTTTATTATTTTCTTCTTATTATTTTCTTATTATTAGAAGTGCAGCAAAATTTGCCGACACAGCAAAAGTGACCACAGTGCTTTTCCATTTAATAATAATACTAATAACAATAATACGCGTGACGTAAAAGTATTACCATTATTAAGAAGTAGGCCGCATTAATACTAATAGGGTTTAAATACAGCAAACTTACTTATATGTTAAAGGGGTCATATGATGCGATTTCAAGTTTTCCTTTCTCTGTGAGATGTAAACTCAACTCTGTTTTCCCCATCAGAATTGTGAGATAAAAAGTCATAATTACCTTTTTTAAATTTTTTATTCCGTGGCAGAAACAGGCTTCCATAAATGTCAGAGCCAGTGTGCTGTCAGTGTGAATAGTAGTGCTGTTAGCTCACAGAAACACTGGAAGTTTGGTCGTCAGCCTGTTTTTTTGTGAGCTTGAGTCATTAATAGATTGGTTAAATAATAACAAATACACATCGATACGCCCCGGAGCCGAGGGTAGCAGCGTGTTAGTCGGGACATGGACGTGTGGCTGAGCTGGTTCATACAAAAAACCGTGAACAAGTGTAGCCATGATGACTGAGCAGATGTGAAGGAGAGCACAGTGACTGATGAAATAACCTAAAATAGCATAACGGTTATGATGCTGAGCTGGAGGAGATCTGGTGCAGGGCTCTATGTAGTGCTGTCAGGAGGGACGATCCTTTGGCGAGCGGTTTTGGGTCGGTGGTGGGGTGTCGGGGGAGAGCTGCGTTCACCCTCGGACTCGGAGGGCTCGGTTTCAGCCTGCGGAGAACCGGTGTCTCCCACCAACTCCCGCAGGAACTTAAACTTAGACAGGAAGAGCTGCCACACCACATACCACCCTACAAACAGGACACACAGACACTTTCAGTGGAATACACCATGTCTGGCTGTCAGGATTGCACTGGAACTTGGAGTGAGATGATATGGCTTTGCATTTGCATCTTAAATTTGACTCTGGTTCACTTGCATTAACTTTATGAAAGCATGGATTGAGCTGGTATGTGCAAAATGATCTCTGAACTAATGCACTTCAGATGCCTGACAAACTTGATTTACATTTCATTTTGCTGAGAAATGTTCGGCCACTTGTGTTAATGAAACCAAGCTTAATGTTACAAACATTACGATTTTGCTTTGTGACCCAATTGTTATATTATGTAATGTCAACATTTGTCATACAAAATAATATAAAATCATTTGATTGATATTGAAGTAAAATGTGAACTTTGTAACATAAATCTAATGGTAATCATAATAAGAATCAAATGTAAATCATCTGAATGCATTATGGTAATGAGAATTCGGTGGGAAAATGTCAGAATTTTCTCAACATTAATTGTATTTATGCAAAATACAATTTATTATTTTTTTCACTTTCATTATTGAGTAAAATATGAAAAGTAAAGTAATAATTCAAATGAGAATAAAAATAGAATCAAATATAAAACATATGGAACATTATGGTAATACGACTTTACTAAGAAAATAGAAATAATAATAATAATAAAGCCAAGGCAAAATATCCCAAAAATGTACTGGTAAATATCTGGACGCATTATGGTAATGAGAATTTAGTGAGAAAATGTCATGAAATTTTAATGATTTAAATCTTATGCAAAAGAAAATGATCAAATTGTCTTTTGATTTTGGGATACAATATGAAATAATTAAAACAAGAATTTAATGAGAGCCATAATACGAATTGAATGTAAAACATAATAGGAGAAATAATAAAAATATCCTAAAAATATTATGATCTTAATGTATGCAATTATTTTCATCTTTATTTCGGGATAAAACACAAATCTAATAAGAATCATAATAAGAGTCATATGTAAACCAGCTGG